AAAGAGAGCAAAAACCGGCCGATGCAGGAGTGTAAAAGGTCCTTGGTCTCATGAATGTATTGTTTAGTAGACCATCTGACCGGCGCGCCACCGTCACCCGGTTGTCATAGCGACCATGTCCCGACATGAATTCGAGAGCGGGATTTCTTCTAGGGTTCGCGGTTTTATGTCTCACTGATGAAGTCCTGAAAAGTACCTATGGAGAAGAACATCTTCGCTTGGTCACCTTGCAGTGGTTGGCTATGTTTGGCATCTCAAGTACAGTCAGCTGTTCAGATCAACTTCTTCACTCATAAGGTTTGTAATTATAATGCTTCGTAAGCTGTCCACAGTCAACACTGTGCTGTAATATAGTTTCTACTGTACTATCATGGCTAGAAATTGTAGAATCTCAGAGAGTAAAGCCGCGATTTTTTGTCGAAATTTGGCAAATCCGTGTGGAATCATGCCGAATTTTGAATGAGCTATGGCCTATGAAGAAAGCCAGTGTACAATTCAGTCTTTTCATCCTACCATAGTAATCTTCCGCCAGTTCACTGGCAAACGAACGGTGGAGGGTTGGCCTGGGCGAGAACCTCATCGGGATTTGACTCTTGGGAAGTGGTAAGCGGGCCACTTGCAACTAGACCAAAATAATGGAATGCAAAATAAGGTGGAGGTGGTGTAAATGGCTCGCTTTCTATGCGTGGGGGCCGGGGGTCGAACCTCCTGAATCGGGCCTTGCAAAAATCGGCCGAAATAAACCGTTCAGGCCAGTAACCCAACATTCACGGTGCGCTATGTATGGTTCCTCATTCCCTTTGACCTGAGAAACACTGAGCTCCTTTTCATGTAAAGAGCACGCGCAATCTCGAGGCTATCTGCCCCACAATAGGCGAACCTCTTCATGTGTTCTCTTCTTGCCAATCCATACAGAACTATCGTGAGACTCGCAGAACCACCTGCCCTCTTAAGGCCATTTTTTCTTGGTAACTCTTCAGTTGTTCAGAAAAAACGTTGTTGTGCAATTTGCTTCTTATTCAGTTATTTGGCCGGTACCATGTAGTTGTTTAAGTTCAAAAGGATTGTATTATACAAATTCGACTTTGTTCAATTTCAGGGTGTTCGACTTGAAGATGTGGTGGTGCAGCGGAAAAGCACAGTGTCCGCTCTCGCATGGCATCCTTCTGAAATGCTCGTTCGCCATTGCAGGCTGCCGTCGGCTTGTCACCTACATTGCATTCGCCGCATTTTTCTGTCGAACTTTTACTGACCAAGCTTGTACACTATACACTTCCCATCCTGGAAATGGTCCTATTTTGAATTCACAGTGTTTTCAAACCTCTCTTGATCAGATTACAAAGAAGTTCTACCTCCATAACGGCCCAAAGGGAACTTCCGTCAGCGCTCCATTGCAGGAATTTCACAACACTTTTTAGCTCCTCATCCACGTTGAATTCTAAAATGTTGAGAAGTAATTCGGATTCTAAAAACAAATTTCAAGGCCGAAAGGCG